CGTTTGTGTGTGTGTGTGTGTGTCACCCCCCCCCCTCTCTCTCTCCCCTCTCTCTCTCCCCTCCTCCTCCCCCCCTCCCCCTCTCTCTCTTTACAATCTGTCTACCTTGCTTTCTCCCTGCCCACTCTGAGAGAGGAACAATGAGGAGTGTGGGAGAATCAAGGTGAGACTCAGATGTGAAATGAAGTATGTGTTATTACTACTGGGACCACAGGGGGTGGAGGCTGCGGCCCGCTGGCGGCCCGCTGGCGGCCTGTTGGCGGCCCGTTGGCGGCCCGTTGGCGGTCCGTGCTCACTTTTCTGGCCGGAGATGAAATCAAATGTCATGCGTACGTTGCCATTTTGGTTAAAGGAAGAATCGTTTGTTTTCAGTGTTTAACAACATAACCCACCTGCCTCGCCTGCAGGGGGTGCTGTGAACACACTTGTATTGGTCTCTGGTCTGTGGATTAGGGAGAATTAAACGAAATAGTTGCGTTGCGTGACGTCAGGTCACAGGTGCTCAGTGAACAGTCACCGTCCACACTGTGGCGCTGTTCACTATTGTTTCATTACCGTGGCTGTTAGTTGGTGCTAGTGACGGTCTTTCTCGGTGGTTTCCTCCGACCGTTCGGGGTGGACTCGCCTCTGCCCGATGACTGCTGTGATTGGCTGCAGCTGACCCCGTGACCTTGAAAAGGATGATGTGATGTAAGGTGAAGGATGTGATTTATTACCAAACCTGTGGGTCTCCTCTGAGGCCCAGCTGAGCTAAGCTAATCCCGCTCTGCCTAATGACAGCTCATCATTACTGCCGCCTGATTGGTCCTTATTCAGATGGAGAGGGAACGGGAGAAACTCCTGTTTATTCTGCCTTTTGATCTGTGTGTTGTGTGTGAAAATGATTGAACTGTGATTGGTCGTCTAATCAGATGAGGAAGGACTCCAGGACTTTTGTCAAACCGTTGACCGATGATGTTAACGTTTCTCCTCCTCTCTCTCTCTGTTCTCTGCTCTGTTCTTCTTAGATGCTTCTCTTTGCACCTCCTAACAGAAGAGAACTTGTTGACGCTCCCTGACCGGGGTGGACCAGCGGTTCTTCAGACAGGACGTCATATAAAAGGTTCGTTACCAAAGGAACACTTCAGGCCGTGCACAACACGTGATCACCGTGATCGATAATCACATAATGACGGCCATAATGAGCTTTAATCAACATTCTCTTAACGTCCTCCTGCACTAATGCACCCAGCCCCGCCCGCCCCCCCCCCCCCCACCCCCCCCCCCCCCCCCCCCCCCCC